GGTCACATGGGGAAGAAGGTAAAGGGATTAGAAAATACAAATTAGTAGTCACAATATAGCCACGGGGATATGAAATACATTTTGGGGAATACATAATAATATTATAAAGATTATGTAGGGTGCCAGATGGGCATTGGACTTATTAGGAAGACCACTTCATAGACTTTGTAGATGCCTGACCATTGCACTGTACACCTGAAGCTAAATACTATTGAATGTAAACTATAGTTAATAAGTAGTCTTGGGATGCGGGGTACAGCACAGGAAATATAGTCAATGGAATTGTAACAGATATACACAATGTCAGAGGGGTAGTACATTGGGGGAGGGGTTATCACTTTATGAGGGGTGTAAATGTCTAACTATTACATTGTTTTGTACACTGAAACTAAAAAAAAAAAAACCACTAAAAAAAAAGGCACATAACATAAAATTTGCCATTTTAAAGTTTACAATTCAGTGGATTTTAGAACAGTCAAAACGTGCAACCATCACTTTGTGGGGCCGTCATTTATTTAAAATTAAACTTATTGGCATAACATTAGTTAATAACGTTATATAATTTTCAGGTGTATAAGACTATAATTTGACATCTGTGTATTCTATTGCGTGCTCCTCACCTGAAGTCTAGTCTCCGTCTATCATTATGTATCTGACCCCCACTACTCACCCCTCCACCTTCTTTCTCCCTTGGTAAACACCATTCTGTTGTCTGTATCTATGAGTTTATTTTTGTTTGTTTTGTTAGTTTGTTACTTGTTTTATATCCCACATATGAGTGAAATCATATGGTTCTTGTCCTTTTCCATCTGATTTATTTCACTTAGCATGATACTCTCAAGATTCATCTCTGCTGTTGCAAATGGCAGTATTTCATGTTTTTTATGGCTGAGTATGATTCCATTGTATACATGTACCACATCTTCTTTATTCATTCATCTGTAAATGAGCACTTAGGTTGTTTCCACGTCTTGGCTACTGTGAATAATTCTGCAGTGAACATAGGGGTACATATATCTTTACAAATAAGTGTTTTCATATTTTTTTGGTAAATACCCAAGAGAGGAATTGCTATGTCATGCTGGGTCATGTGGTAGTTCTAGTCTTAACTTTTTGAAAAATGTTTTGCATAGTGGCTGCAGTAATTTACAGTCAGTGGCATCATGTATTAAACTACCTCCCATACCAAGGACACTTGGCATGAGGTTTGTTTGAAACAAAAGTGACCATATAGTCTAAGGGCAAGTGTCAGCTGATTTCCAGTGAGCCAGTGGGTGAGACAGAACACTGGTAAGAACTGCTCACTAGGACCATTTCGGCATCAAGCCTGGGCTGACATTCCGACAGGGTGCAAGTACTGGGCTCTGCCTGATTCTCATGTCCTATTCTTACATGATAGAGCACCTTCACCACATTTTCAGCCATTCCTTCTGTGAAATACCACCATTTCAAGGCATGGGAAATTTGTTTAGAAACAATTATTTCTAATTGATTGGCAAAGGAGGAAGTGGCATTGGTGTTTTGTGCTTCACATCCACAACCTAGTAGAGGATGATGTTTCCTTCTTTTTTTGAGATGTGGCTTCCTCTTCTGTGACAGTTAATATGAAAGCATGTACTTCTAGTTAGAATGGGTAGAGCTGGTTATAATGCCAGGGTGTGTATTAGTTGTCAACTTGGCAAGAAGCATCTGGCCCAGACAAATAAATTAAATGAAGATACTCTTTATATAGGTGTGGGCAGATAAAACAGGATCTGAACCCAATTCCAATGTGTGTGGGGGGTTTTCTACACCACCAAGCAGTTCTCCAACATATGCTGCTGTCCTACAAAACAGCTCAATTTAGACACTATCTACCTGGATATAGCATCAGATACCACAGGTTGAGGGCTTGGTCCCACAAGACTGCCTCCCCTGCCACTTCAGATGCCAATCACAAGTTGAAGTTGTCACTTGTGTTTCTGACCTACTGGCTGTGGATTGGAGGTTCCCACGACTCCTTCCTTGAGTTCCATTAATTTGCTACAGTAGCTCACAGAAGTCAGAGAAACAGGTTACTTACCGGATCACCAGTTTATTAGGAAATGATGTAACTCAGGAACAGCCAGATGGAAGAATGCGTAGATCAAGGTATGTGGGAAAGGGTTTGGATATTCCATGCCCTCTCTGGGCACCACTCTACCCAAATCTCCATGTGTTCACCAACCTGGAAGCTCTCTGAACCCTGTCCTGTTTTCATAGGCACAATTGATTAAATCATTGACTATTGATGATTGATTCAACCTCTAGCCCCTCTCCCCTCCAGGGAAATGGGGGTGGGGGAGGAAGGACTGAAAGTTCCAACCCTCTATTCTATTCATGGTTGGTTCCCAAGGCAACCAGCCCCCATCCTTAGGCATTTTCCAAAAATCACCTCATTAACACAAACCCAGTTATAGTGGAAAGAGGATTGTTATGAATAACAAGACACCCATTTCACATTTAGGGCTATGAAGTGATACCAGGAACTGAAGACAAGAGACCAAAACAAATATTATAACAAAAGATGTTCCCATTGCTCTTATTGCTCAGGAAATTCCAAGGGTTTTAGGATCTCTGTGCCAGAAACAGAGCAAGAGCAAAGATACATTTCTTACTATAAATCACAATATCAGAGCAGGGCTAAGAGAAACCAACAAAGGATGCTGGGATTAGAAACGGTGGGGGAACTTTTATCAATCCTTGGCTTAAAGGGGCAAATTGTGGGAGCAGTTATAGAAACCTGAACAGGCCTTAGGCTGGGACAGAAGAATCCAATTATCATCTCAATGTACAGTCCCTGGAGGGTAGGAGTAGCTGGGAAAATAAGTATCCCCATCTCTCTCTCTCTCTCTCCTCCAGTCCTCTTCTCTCCTTCCATGGCTACCATTGGTTAAACTCAGCTAAAGACAGAGTACAAGACGGTCCTGATGATGCAGTCCATACAGGACAACCTTTTAGTGCACAGAGCAGGGTAGAGAAGGATAGAGAGCAGTTTCTTTCACAATTGCCCAAAGTGAGTTGTTACATGCTTGATATAGTTTGAGAGGCACCACACCTTTGGAACTATTCCTCGGACTGAGTATTTGCTCTTTTGGTTTGTGAAATGGACTGGAATCTTGTGATGGTGACAGCCTACTGCTCCAAGGGAAGTAGGGATTAAAGAATGTCATCAACAGATTCTCTTGTCTGATGACTAATTTTGTTAGTTCTCATTTGTTCATTGGCTCATGGGCCACTCTACTGTTTGTATATATCCCTCTTTGGGGCTTTGCAATCAAACTGTCCAAGAGAGACACAAGCTGGATGGATTGGTGAGCCAACATCCAATAGAGAGATCTCCTTTAAGGTAGACTTCTCTGCTGGACCACCTCATAGGTTGTTGGTTGCCTCTGGACCAATCCATGGCCCAATCAGCTGTGATTGGGAGTTGAAGTCATATGGTACCATGTCTGAAAACACGTGTGTAAGTACTCCTTCCAGTCTACTTTGTGAAGTGTACCAGTTAGCTTTGGCTGTGTAACAAACCACCTCCGAATTTCTTTTGCTTAAAACAAAATCTATATTTTTTAGTTCATGATTTTGTGGGTTGGCTAGACATTTCTTCTGGCCTAGGGTAGCTTGGCTGGTTTCTGATGGGCTCTTTCATGCATTTGTGGGTCCGCTAGTGGCTGGATGATCTAGCATGGCCTCAACCCTACATTAGGTGGTTTGCACATTGGCAACCAGGGTGATGGATTATTGACTAGTGAGACTTGGTTCTCTTCCACATGGCCTCTCCTCCTCCAAAGGGCTAGCTTAGGCTCATTCACTTGGTGATCCCAGGATTTCAAGAGAAGCAAAAATGGCAAGCCCCAACGTGCAAGTGCTTTTCAAATCTCTGCTTACATCCTGTTAACTGTTTTTTCATTGGCCAAAGCCAGCCGCATGGCCAAGTTTAGAGTCAGCATGGCAGGACTACACATGAAAAAAGAGGAATTCTGGCATTTGTTTGTGCAAATAATGTCACTTGCAGAATCTCAGGGGCTTCTGGTTCAGGCATTTCATCTTAATATTCAGACAATTTTTACTTCAGCTCAGCTAACAAGGATAGGCCTAAACACTTTCTTTTGCCATGCAAAAGAAACATTTTGTGTATCACATGCAGCAAGTATTTTGAGGCTTACCTGGGGAGGCTGACTGCAAGCCCACCTAACAGCTATATCCAGGTGATTATTTGACTATTTTATTACATTGGCTCTAATTTATAAAAAGAAATGGGAAACTGAAAGAGGAAGATATTCATGTTAGAGATCATAAGGCTATGTTTTATAAATGTAATAAAACCAAGACAAGGAGTAAATCACTAGGTGTGGATTTGGACTTGTCAAACTAGGGGATATTTGCCATATTTTTGCTGGATTTTACAATGATTCCTCTAATATGAATGAGAAGAAAATTTCAGGACACCATGCTAATGGGACCAGTCAAGCATTTTACCAGCCAAGTTGATGAGTGTGATTATGTTGGGTGACCCTATCTCAAAGACCAAGAATATGGGCACGTCATTTTCCCAAAGCAGTAAACTGATAATGGAATACAATAATAGAGAACTGGGTAATGCATAGATACAATGATTCTCTCCCACACTCTGGTCTTCAACCCTCTCACTAAGAAGTTCACCAACTTAAAGGAGCATCCTCAAAATTTGATCCATTTCCTTGGTGTAGATGGAAGTTGGCACCACCCTCCGTTTCCTGGTTTTCCCTACTGAATACTATCACCATTTCCAAGTTCATTTTCTGAGGCACTTTTATGTGGTCCATCCTGGTAATGTACTATTAAATTCAATGAAAAGAGAACTAATGGGCCATGCATTATGCAAACTCCACACCCAACACCCCCAGCCTTCTCCTCCACCCACAAGACTCCTTGAGAAACTAGGGCTCAAGATAATAAGTGATACACTTCCTTTTTTTCTTAATTCGGAGAAGCTGCTGAGACTGGGTGAGACTCAAGAGCTTTTTATCTTGTGGGTAAGTAGGAACTTGTTTAGGGTCTTTCTGTAGAAAATAGAAATGTGTGATCTTGGGTCTAGAAAAATGTCTAGCACTGGGAAAAGAATTCAAGGAGACCACATTACATGTCTTGTTGCTTTATTTCTTGAAAGTTGCTCTAGGGACGTTTCTGTCGTGTTCATTTGCCCACTTCTTCTTGGGTAAGGAATGTGTGCATTAGGTGGTAGTATAGGACAACCTGAAATGCCTTACTACACTCCAAAGAGATAGCAAGTTGTGTATTAATGGGCTTAAGTGGAACTAAAATAAGAAAGATGCAAGACACAAAGTCTAAATCAGATGCAGCAGGTAACCAATTTGTTATTAAAAATAGATAACAAGATCTAAAAGTATGAGTGAGTTTACCAATGTCCCATAATGAATTACCAAGCCTTTTCACATGCCACACACCTGACCCCCATAATAAACATACCAGTGCAGTTAACACCAGACTCAGAGTGAAAGGCTTGTATATTTTATTTATGAGCAAAATATCTACAGGTCAGTATTTTTTAAACCAGCTACTTGTGAGTCAATAGTGGGGTGGGGTCATGGAACCAATTTAGTGGGTACCAACTAGCATTTTAAAAGAAATGAAAGGACTATAGTTTTAAAATATCAGATGCTGCCTATCATGGATATTGATTTGTGAAACTTGGTTTGGTTCATTTTCTTTCTCTCTTGTTTCTGGTGTAAAATTTACTTCTTACAGTAGGTCATGGCCAAAATTCTCTGCAAATCAGCTTTGATATATATGTGAAATCATCCAGATACAGAACAACAAATACTATATGAGCTCACTTACATGTAGAAGCTACAGCAGTCAAACTCAAAGAAGCAGAGAGTAGAATGGTGAGTGCCAGGAGTGATGGACAAAGGTATAAAGTTTCAATTATGCAAGATGGATAAGTTCTGGAGAGCTACTATACAGCATAGTGTCCATAGCTAACAATACTGTATTAAAATTTGCTAGGATGGTAGATCTTATGTGTTCTTAACGTGCATGAGCATACACACACACACACACACACACACACACACACATCATACAGAGGACATGAGGAACGTTTGAGAGGTAATAGATATGTTTATGGCCTTGATAATGGTGACAGTTTCATGGGTGTATACTTATCTCCAAACTCATCAAGTTGTATACATTAAATACATACAGTTTTTTACATGCCAATCATACCTCAGTACGGTGGTTCACCACCACCACCACCACCACCCCAAAAAACTAAAAAATCAGCATTACTAGAGGTCTCTGCTCTTCTGAAAAACATTATCACCTCTTTCATGTAAAATACTCACTTTAGTTAAACTGGTTTCAATTGAAGCCTCAAAAAAGACTTGTCCTCCTCTAGACAGGGTTTCTTTACGCTAGGAGATTCCAGTCTATTTTAGAGTAGGTTTTTTGGAAGGAAAGGGAAAAATGAATCAAAAAAAGAAGCAAATGTTCAGAGAAGGGAAGGCATCTAGGAAGTGACCATGTGTAAGTCCTTGAAGGTTGAACAGAATTTGATTTTCAGTCAGGAGGTATTGTCTACGGCAGAGCTTGCAAGCTGGGGGCCCACTGGTTCTGTATTTAAGGGAAAAGTGGATTTGAATGTCTTTAGGTAGAGTTCATGGTATCCAGTTCTCCACAGTCCCCATTGCTCCCCCAAAATGGCCTCGCTTATTTATATTCCATGTTTAGCTCCTAGGAGCCTCTGAGGTTCGGGATCTTGGTGTGGAGGTTAAACAATGGCTTTGGATTCGGCCCAACTTTGTCCAAGTTTAGTTTTGCATTTTTGTAGCAGCCTTACCTTGAGCAAATGATGGAATCTCTTTGAGTCTCAGTTTCTTCACCTGAGAAGTGGGGGATCATGATAAGATCTATGTCACAGCTTTGTTGTGACCTTTCAAAGAGATTAGTGTCAAAGTTCTTAGTAAGCTCTTGATCTGTCATAGATGTTTCATAAATGTTTTTACGAAGTTGTAATGAAAAAGCTAAGAGAAGTATCTGCAGCAATATTTGATTTACATACTAGATGCCATTGCATAATGTGTGACTAACCTGTTCAGGGCCATCAAGAAGAAGAGTTTTTTCTGGGATGGGCCTTCTCAGAACTCTACTTTGTTCCTGTGGGGGCTTCACAGGATCTTGTTAATTCTCATCACCACTGGGAAATGGATCAGTCCTGAGCATGCAAAGCCATGATTATAACTGGAATCATGGAAAGGGAGTGAGGGATCTCCGTGACCACCATTGTCACTACCACCACCATCACCACCACGGGCAGCGCCACCATCACTACCATCACCATTACCGTCACATCCACCATCATCACCACCATCACTGTCATCAGCAAAACCCCTCCCTCCATTGTCACTGCTACCCCATACACCATTTTCATTCATCAATGCCATCATCACTGTTATTACCAGTCAACATAAGAATCTGTAGAGAACTTTTAAGAGTCTATTTGGGCCAAACAGAAAATACACCTGCAAGCAAGATCTCAACAGATTGAGAAAAAATGCTTCCCAGAATGACAGTTTTCAATTTCTTTTATACATTTGGAATTAAGGAGAGAACATAAGGAGGATTACATGAAAGTGGGAGAAAGCAAGGCAGAGTAATCTCTAGGATTGGACTATAAGATAGTTAGCAAGGTTATGTGCTCTCTTGAGAGTGGTTATTCTTCCAAGAGGTCTAAAAAGAAGCATTTCAAAGGTGTGTCAACCTAGAGGCACAAAAACATGCACAGGACTTGCTTAAGGTAAAGATAAACATTTTATAGGCCTGGGGTGTGACTACCCACCATGACTTACCCAGTTAGGAATTTATGATCAGATCACCCTGTGAGGTTATTTTGGTTAGATATATTATAGAGCCCTCTTTTCATACACAGTCACTGCTTCCACAATCACTACCATCACCACCACCACCACCATCACCACCATCATTACATCCGGTCCTTATCACAGTTTACTTTATTCAGCACTGGCTATGTGCCAGACAAGTGCCACATGTTATGAACTGCATCATCACAAACATACTATGAAGTATATGCTTTTTCTTTGTCCCATTTTGCAAACAAGAAAACTGAGGCTCAGAGGCAAAGTCAGCACCTCAGAGTCACTGAACTAGTCACTTCAGACTTGCAATTCAAACTCAGGCTGTCCCGGGCACTGAGTTATGATGTCATCTAACTGCCTATGGCCAGCACCTAATTGTGGATGAGGCACTGAGAGAGAATTGTTCCTCAGGCAGTCCCTAGAAGATTCCAAACTCAAAAACAAAGTAGAACAGTTATATAGAGAAGGATGGAGCTGCCAAGTGGAGCCAATTTTTTTTACCCATTTTATTTCCTCTTCTATTAAAATATTTCATTATTATTATTTTCTTATTGTTAAAGTAATGTGTAAAATTTAGAATTACAGTTAAAGAAGTTTAAAATCACCCACAATGCTGTTTTCTTATTAACATTTATAATTTCTTTAAATGTGATACTCTATATTTTGCTCTATTACCTGCTTTTATCCTAATGCTATATCACATTTGCTTTCAATGTTATTTTAATAGCCTGCTCCATTATTTTATTTATGATTTTATATTACAGTAAATTAATAAATATTATTATGGAAACAACCATAATAATATACTTTGGGACATTTCTGAAAAGTAGATTTTAGGAGACTTTAGTAAAAAATGTTCATTCTACTATTCTTTGCCTTACTCATTCCATTTGGTTTGTATTCCTGTCATACATCACTGAGAAAAATTAGTAGATAAAAAAGTATACAAAATATTATCAACATTATGAATATCATGAAGTATCGATAAATATAATATATATATATATTTTCTTGGATTGTTAAGAAAGAACTTAGCTTTCTTTTTTTCTTTTTTAATTAATTTTTTTCAATTATAGTTGACATTCAATATTATTTTATATTATTTTCTGGTGTATAGCATAGTGGTTACACATTTATATAATTTATGCAGCAATCCCCTCAGTTAGTCTAGTACCCACCTGGCACTATACATAGTTATTACAATATTATTGATATATTCCCTATGCTGTACTTTATATCCCCATGACTATTTTGTAACTACCAATTTGTACTTCTTAATCCCTTCGCTTTTTTCACCCAGTCCCCCAATCCCTCTCCAATCTTGCAAACATCAGGTTGTTTTCTGAATCTAGGAGTCTGTTTCTGTCTTGGTTTTTGTTTATTTTGTTCTTTAGATTCTACATATAAGTGAGATCATATGGTATTTGTCTTTCTCTGACTTACTTCACTTAGTATAATACCTTCTAGGCCCTTCCAAGTTGTCACAAATGGTAAGATTTCTTTTTTTATGGCAGAGTAATATTCCATTGTATGTTCATGAAATATGTAACACAATTTCTTTATCCAGTCATTTATTGATGGGCATTATGGTTGTTTCCATATCTTGGCTATTGTGAATAGCATTGCAGAGAACATAGAGATGCATATATCTTTTTTCTTTTTCTTTTCTTTTTTTTTATTCACTTTGTGAGAGGTATGTCTGTTACGTTGTTTTGTACACCTGAAACTATGTAAAAATAAATAAAAATAAAATGTACTAAATAGCTCCAGGAAAAAAAAAAGAGATGCATATATCTTTTTGAATTAGTGTTTTGGATTTCTTTGGATAAATACCCAGAATAGGAATTTCTGGGTCATAGTTCTATTTTTAATTTTCTGAGAACCTTCATACTGTTTTCCATAGTGGCTGCACCAATTTGCAATCCCATCAACAGTACATGAGCATTCCCTTTTCTCCACACCCTCGCCAACACTTGTTTTTCGACTCATAGTTTTCATTTAAAATAGCTTTTATGTCCCAGGTATGATGCAAAATTCAGCTGACCAAAGCTTTGCATGCTGTAAGATTGCCTTTAAAACTGTTTTTAGATTAATTTATAATCAAAGAACACATTCCATTGTTTCTGAGAGGCCTGAGATCCTCTCCTTCAAGGGTGCCCCTTAAGGCGGATTTGTCGACAAACACAAACAAAAAAAGTGAGTGTGCGCAATAAAGTCGGAAACCTCAGAGAGTAAAGAGAGCAGCTTCAGGCTGCCTGAGTTTAAAGCGGCCGATTTTCCTAGAGGAAGATGGCACTGGAATGAAGCCTGAGCACAAGATGGTGGCTGTCATGTCTGGAACAGAAGATGAGGGAGGGGAAGGAGATGACTCAGATGTCATTTTACTTCTTACTTCTAAGCAAAGTACACAGAAACACCATTTTACTAATTATTTCCAAGCCAAAAGGGGAAGAAGAGGCCTGAGATCAACATGCAAATGATGCATGAGACAATAAATTGAGTACTCTCCTAACCACTCCTCAAATATACTAGGCAATTTACAAATTTCAAATTCAAATGGCTAAATACATGAATGCAAATGAACCGGTTCATAACTCAGGTACAAGTCCTACAACTATTCCTCTCTCCCACTGGGTACCCCAAACAAATGCAAAACAAATTGGCTCATCCCAAGGGAAAAGCCCAAACGGAGGAGAAGGGAGCTCCCGGTTGTGCACACGGGGGCTACTCACCGTTTCAAATCGCTCCAGTCAGCTCGCAAAGGCACACAAACATAGACAAACAAATGGGCAGAATCCAACAACCCTGACCCTACTTTCAGACAGAGGCCTTCAAAATGCAGATGGCTTTGTCCCAGGGAGAGAAGGCCCAGACATAGAAAGGATTCCCAGCTGTGCATGCCAGAGTGACAAAACCAAAGGTAGACCGAAATCCAAACACGTTTCCTAATTCCAAACAAGCCATGAGCCAAGGGTGACCAGCATCTGCGGGGGAAAGTCCCTCCAGAGGCCCCAATGCTAACCACACCGGCAGCTGCTTGGGACTCACAGAGGGGAACCCCAGCCAGGGTTGGTCTCCCACGGACACTACCTCCTGGCTAAAGCTAGCCAAATTGTCACTGGTCCAAAGTCCATGTCCCCTGCCGCTTCAAAAGGCCAAAACTCAGAATGTCAGAGTTTGGAGTAAGGAGAGGTTTATTGATTGAAAAGTCATCAACCCAAAAGATGGGAGCCCTAGTGGTTCTGCAAATCCATCTTACCAAGTACAGAGTTCAGGCTTCTTTTATGTCAAGGGAAGGGGACATGGGAGGGGTTGTTTTTGTACAACTCAAGCTGAAAGCAGAATTCCTGTAATGATTTTCCTGTCTATATGCCAGTCTAAACAGAAGCTATTAGCCTGACTGCCATGGGAACCAAGCAGACTTGCACAAGATGGAGTTAGAGAAAGACCAATCATTCCACTCTGTTACGTATCTACTTAACAGTACACCTTTAAGACAATATTTTCTCCCTCTTTTTATTAGGGGACTTTTCAAATATACAAATGTAGAGACAATAACATCACAAACCTGACAGACCCTTTACCCAGCTTTAAACATGACCACCTTTTGGTCAATCTCGTTTCATCTTTCCTCTCACTTGCTCCTCAAACCACGTCACCCCCAATTATCTTGACATAGATTCTACACATCACAGTACTTCACCTGCAGAATTTGGGGTACATATCTCCAAAAGATCAGGACTCTGTAAACATAGCCCTTGTATCATACCTATAGCTTCCTTTTGGAGTAGACATCTGAGCTGACAGGTGAGGAAACTAAGAGTGAATGATCATATCTATAAAAAATGAATCGCTGGTGACGGAGTAGGCTGCAGCCCCTGCAGCAGTGGGTTGCCATGGGCTACCATGTATAGCTAGCAGCCAGCATGAGCGGCCAGCAGCTGCAGTGAGCGGCCATCCAGAAGCTGGCGACTGATCTGCCTCACCCAAGAAGAGCGCAGTGATGGTGCCAACTTGGGCCAGTGAAGCAACGTCCTCCACAACTAGACTGAAGAACAAAAGGACAGCAACTTGTCTGTTCCCCTTCCCCCAATTCCCCAGCACTGTTCCCATCCTCCCAATTCCCCAATTTAAAAAAAAAATGAAGAATCTTTCTTTAATGTCACCACATCTCCACCCTTATAACCTATTAAAATTGTTTGTTTGATTTGGGATCCAGTAAGCACTGCAATTGGTTGATATATTTCTAAGTCTCTTTTAATCTAGGTGCCCTATGTATTTTTTACCTTAAAAAATAATTTCTTTTCTTTGGATAGTTTGTCCTGTGCAGTTTCCCACAGTCTGGATCTTGCTGATTGCAATAGATCAGGATTTTAAATTCCAGCAGGATATTCCATCAGGTGCATCTTGTGTTCCTCATTTGTTGGGTTGTAAGCGTGTTTCCTTTAAGATATTCTGCTACGAGCATCCTTGAAGGATCTTTTCATCCATATATTGGGTTGTTGGAAAAGTCATGATGTATTTTTGCAATGAAAAACATAGAAAAAATACACCATGACTTTTCCAACAACCCAATAGTTTTCCAGAAGTGGAATTGTTGGGTCAAAAAATGGGTAGAAATCAAAGGGCTTTGATAAATATCGGCCACCCATTTTCTAAACTCTGTGACCATTAGAAATTGATTTGCACAGGGCTTCTTCATTTCAGGACCCTTGCCGCGTTCTGCTGGAGGGTGTTTCTCAGATTGTTCCTGGTATCTCAGTGCCATGGGGAGCAGATGCCTGCTCCTGCTCTCAGGTGAGTGGAACAAAGAATTCCCCACTCTTTACCTCATGACCCTGTTTCCTAGCTTTGGTTGCTTCCCCAAATTTAGGACTTTCTCCAGAAATCACTGTGTGTGCCTGTCTATTAGAAACTCTAGAGTCTCTTAGCTGCTTTCTCCTAAAGCAGAACTGAGACAAAGACTTGGGTGTAAATGGTTTCTTTAGGGGCAGATCCCAGGAGGCACATGGGTTGTGGGGGTGGGTTGGGGAATGGGGGGGGGTATGTCAGGGAGGGAAGGGAGGAGAGTGAAGAAAGGATGCGTTAATGAGGGGTTACCGCTGTGGGTAACTGACACTCAATCCTGCTGTGGACCCTCCAAGAGGCTTTAGGTTATGTGCCTTCAAAGGGCGAGAGTCTGGGCTTTTCAACCTCATCGCTCACAGCCCGACAGCCACACTTAGTGTAACTTCCAAACACTTCTGCCTTGCCCCCCCACAGGCTGTAGAAAAATGCTGTTTTACCGAGAGATACAGTAAGTTATGTGCATGCATAGGAACCCGCTCTGGGGGTAGGATAAGGGGACACTTCAAGCATCGGCTACACTAATGACCACCTAGAGAGTTCATGCTCAGAGTAACTTAGCTTAGCATGTTACAGTGACCTGGACCTAGTTACCCTTCTGCTCTGGGCGTTAGCATCGTCAAAGTAATAAAATACCATCAGACAAATCAAACACAGCCTAGAAGGTTTGTAAGAAGATCTTCTAAGCAAGCATGTGAAGTCCAATATTCTTGTGTCAGGAGTGAGCAAATTTTTTTCTGCCAAGGACCAGATAATTACTATTCTCAGCTCTGTGGGCCATTTGGTCTCTGTCTTAAAACTCCTGAACTCTACGTTACAAAAGCAGCCACAGACAGCACCGTGTTCCAAGGGAACTTGATGTATATAGACATGGAAATTTGAGTTTCATATAATTTTCATGTGTGGTGGAATATTCTTCTTGGTTTTTAAAAACCATTTAAAAGCCTTAAAAATCATTCTTAGGTCTGGATTTGCCCCAAAGGCCATAGTTTGCACCCTGGGAATCAAACAACATTTCTTTTTTGTGAAAAAAAAGTATTCAGAGGGAAATTGCTGATATTTGAGCATTTTTGACTCACAAAAGTGGCCATGTCATGTGATTCAGCCTAATATTGTAAACGCATCAATATGATATTTTTGTTAGTACCTGTGATATAGAACAGAGGAGGTAGGAAGAGTGTTGACCTGATCTTGTCCAGGGGACTTGTCTTGTTCTGTGATAATCCAAATGGGCTTGTTCCATATTCCTTTCCCTTCCATATGATATAAATCCAAATTATTATACCTACATTTTATTTGTCCTACTTAAACCCTCCAGGGGCTGATGCTGGCCATGAAAACAGATGCCTCCGGAATTCAGCAAAGGGTTCCAACCCAACCCACTTGCAATGAAAGGGATAAGGGAAAATCCATTTTCCAGTGCCTGGTTATTTCCAGCCCATGTACCATGATGGAGTGATATTCAGAAATTTGTGGCAAAGTTGTCTGTGTTTCTGAGTTCATTGCCAACTTTAATATGAAGCTCTAGACTCTAGTCTTATGGTAGACATTCTTTAGGTCATCCTCAAAATGGATCATCCTGAAAATATCCTTACAAATTTGTCACAGTCTTGGACTCCTGGGATTCTTATGGTCTGTGCTATTCAGATCTCCCCTTATTCCAGAGAAAGCACTGGTTATTAAGAGGTTAGGCCCAGTGGGCCGGCTGAGTGGCTCAGTTGGTTAAGAGCTCACTCAAGAGTTTGAGCTCTGAGCAACAGCGGTTCAAGTCCAGCCCAACCTGAGCAGCAACTGAGCTGCCAACAGGTGGCAGGATGGCTCAGCTAAAAAAAAAAAAGGTTAGGCCCATGTTGTCTAGTACCATAGCCACCAGCCACATGTAGGCACTGAGCACTCAGAATAAGACCAGTCAAAATGCATACTGGATCTCAAAGACTTATTACACACAGCAAAGAATGTAAAATACTTTAGGAATATTTGTTTTATATTGATTGCATGTTGAAATAGCTTGGCTATAGTGAATTAAATAAAATATGTTACTGATATTAATTTTACCTGTTTCTCTTTGACTTTTAAAAATGAAAGGACCCAGAAGGTATTATGCTAAGTGAAATAAGTCAGACAGAGAAAAACAAAAAACATATGATTTCACTTATATGTGGAATCTAAAAAAACAAAACAAATGAATAAACAAAACATAAACAGACCCATAGAAACAGAGAACAAGATGATGGTGCCAAAGGGAAGGAGGGTGGAGGAATGAGAATAAAAATATGTGTTTAGTAGAAAATTTAAAAGGAACTATGTGGTTTGCATTATATTTCTATTGAATAGTGTGGGATTAGAGATCTGGACTGGTCAAGCTGTTGGCCTTTTGTTGCTAGACTTGGAGAAAAAGCTTTATGAGCTACCGGATTTTCAGAAATGGGGACATACAAGTCTAGCTTGTGATATTATGATTTATAATAAGAAATATATACTGGGGTGCCAAAAAATGTATACAAGTGGACATTTTGGTCAACATTGCTCAAGCAGTAGTTCACTGTAATCAGAAATGTTTGGATACTGATGGTAATCACTTTGAGCAATTCTTGTAATTGCAGAAGTCAAATGTGACTTGTATTCATCTTCTGTTATCGGTATATATTGAGTATTACAATTTTAATACAGTTTTTCTTTCTTAAAATGTGTATACATTTTTTGGCATCCTCTGTATTTAGTCTTTGTCAGTTTCTGGCACAGAGCTCCTAAATCCTTGGAATTTCCTGTGATGAGGCCATAAAAGTTGTCTTTTGTTATATTAATGAGTTGACTTTTGAACTCACCTAAGAATGGGGGCTGGTTGACAACAGAGCCAACCAACTTGGAACTTTCAGTTTCACCCCCTGATTCCTGGGGAATAGAGAGGGGCTGGAGGTTGAATCAATCATCAATGGCCAATTAGTTAATCAATCATGCCTATGTAATGAAACCTCCATAAAAACCCAAAAGGATGGATGGGGTTTGGAGAGCTTCCAGGTTAGTGAATACCTGGAGATTCAGGGAGAGTAATGCCCAAAGAGGGCATGGAAGCTCTGTACCCTTTCCCACATCCCTGGCCCTACGCATCTCTTTCATCTGGCTGCTCCTGATTAGTATCTTTTTACAATGAATTGGTGATCTAGTAAGTAAAATGTTTCTTCGGGTTCTGTGAGCCACTTTTGCAAATTAATCAAACCCAAGGAGGGTGTGTCATTGAAACTTCCAACCTATAACCCTTAACCTGTGGAATCTGATGCTGTCTCTGGGTAGATAGTGTCAGAATTGAGTTGAATTGTAAGACACCTAGTTGGTGTCCAAGAATTGCTTGTTGGTATGGGAACCCCCCCCGCCCCCCCCACATTAGAACTGGGTGTAGGACCTCTTTCAGCAGCAATCAGGTGTACCTCTTGTACTTCAGTAATATACAGCACCTTTCATGACCCTCATGTTTATAGTCTACCTGGAAGAGTCTACAATGAAGTCAGAATGTGTATGATGAGCAGTGGGAGCCAAAGCCCCTAACTCATCCAGGCTTTAGCCAAACAAAGGTTCTTTCTCTCTCTGTTCCAGGTCTCAGTGTCCTGCTGGCTCTGTCAGGGTCAGAAGCAAAGAATTCTGGAGGTGAGTCCAAGATTGTCAAAGGCCAGGGGAAAGGAAATTGGGGTCTGCAGCCTGCTTCCAGGGGAAGAAAAGAGTCCTTTGCAATGGAGAGAATATTCATCCCTGACGCCTTCTGCTGACTCTTTGGAGCTCCCAAGGACTGCTCCCCCTTCTCTGCCATCACCATCATCATCCCCATTTATTTAGCTCTTGCATTGCACCAAGCTTGGTGCTAAGCAAATTGCACACTCTGTCTCATTAAATTCTCATGACATTTCTGCAAAGAAGGTCCTGACATTATCCCCGCTTGACCAATGGCCCTCTAGAGAAGTAGCTGGCTCAAGATCACACAGCTAGCAGACACTGGACTCTTCCCTTCCTTTCCCAAAAGCCTGTGTCCCAAGTCATGCCTGGAGATAGTGTTGCTTTGCCCCATGTCTTGGGTTGGGTCCCCCCAGAAGCAGACCCTGAGATAAAGACTTGAGAACAAGCCATTCATATGGGAGGTGATCCCAAGAAGCACCAGTGAGAAGTTGGAATTCAGGTGGAAGGGCAAGAAGCCAATATTCAGGAAGTTACATGTGGGCAACTGGAGATTGACCTTCTGGGGACTGTTGGACAAAGTAAGAACCATGCCCCTTGGAGCTATTCCCCCAGGGGGGGAGGAAGCTGTTTTCTTCTATTTATTATTTAAAATTGTGGTAAAATATACATAACAAAATGTATGATCTTCACCATTTTTAAGGAATATAGTTTCTCCACATCCTACCAACATTTGTTATTCTGTTTATTAATTACATTCACATTGTCATGTAATCATCACCACCATCCATTTATAGGACATTTTTCTTCCTGCAAAACTGAAACCCTGTCTCCATTAAACAATAATTACCCATTCTCCCTCCCCCAGCCCCTGAAACCATCATTCTACTTTCTGTCTCTATGAATTTGACTACTCTAGGGACCTCATATGAGTGGAACCATATAACATTTGTCCTTTTGTGATGAGCTTATTTACTTATCATAATGCCTTCAAGGTTCATCTATGTTGTAGCATGTGTTGGAATTTCCTACTTTTTTTAAAGCTGAATAATATTCTATTTTCTGGATGGACCACATTTTGTTTATCCGTTCATCCATTGATGGACACTTGGGTGGCTTCCACCTTTTGGCTGTTGTGAATAATGCTGCTACGAACATAGGTATACAAATATCTCTTCAAGGCCCTGCTTTCAATTCTTTTGGATATATACCCATAAATAGAATTGCTGGATCATATGGTAATTCTGATTTTTATTTTAGAAATTACCATACTGTTTTCCACAACAGCTATACCATTTTACATTCCTACCAGCAATGCACTAGGATTACAAGTTCTCCACATCTACCAACACTTGTTATTCTCTGATTATTTTTGTTAGTAAGAGAGCTGGGTTTTTTAATGCACTGACTCTTGTCAGTCACTTGGAGGAGAAAACATTGCTTTTCTGTCATGTGGTGAGCAAAGAGGACTCTGGTGGCCAAAGAAAACCTTCAGGTAAAGAAACCCAGGTGCTGACAGAGAAGTTCTCCTGTCAGGCAAAAGTGGTGTTGATGGCAGAGGTGGGACATGGGTAGGACAGTTTGAGCTTCTGAATTCAGTATGGGATGGGTGCAAAGAGGATGCCAACAGAGCTGGTCCCTAGAGGACATTGTTTTGACCACAGCATCTGGTACATCATAGGTGCTCAATGAATATTTCTTGAGTAAATGAATAAGCAAATGAATGAAAGGATCTTGTGTTCCCTGCAGCTTCCTGTCCTCCGTGCCCTGAACATGCCAGCTGCTTCAACAATACCCAGTGTGCTTGTAAAGATGGGTTTCAGTCCGCGTCTGGGAGGAGGTACTTCCTTGAAGCTAATGAGACGTGTGAAGGTAGGATGTAATCCACACCCATTTTGGAGTTTGGAAGGGGGCAGGGGCTTCCTTCTATGCCTTAAACACTGTGATTTGTAGGGGTGATAGTAATGCAAAGATGCAAGAATGTTACAAGATAGAAAATATCAGAGCTGTCTCAATGCCTTTAGAGAAGCCTCTACAGCTTGTACCCCTCCCACTCTCATTCTGCTGCTGGCTTAATCCTTGGTTTTTCTTTAGAGGAAGATGGAGTTCCCAGGATCCTGGGATCTTGAAGGTTAAAGCACTGGTACTTTTGTTTGTTTGTTTGCCTGAGGGTTTCACAAGGGAAGGGATCATCTCTGTTTTGTTCATTGCTGCATGCCTAGCACAGAGAATAACGTTGTCGCATAGCAGACGCCCAATAAAAATGTGTTGATCAAGAGAAGAAATTAATAAATGAATATCTTGACACTTGATATCTTCCATGATCTGGCCCCAACTTGGTTTTCCAGTTTCACTTTTTACTACTCCCGTCTGCTCCAGCCAAATCTTTTCTCATTTCCACAAATTCTAAAGGTCAATTTGAATACCAGAGTAAATTAGCACTCCTGAATATCTGATTGGTAGAACTGAATGTTTTATTGAGGGAGTTGTAGTGTCAATTCAGAAGGTGAAGCAGAAAATGGTAGATTATTTAGGATTCATTTTATTTTATTGTGTCAAAATATAAGATAAAATTTACCATTTTAACTACTTTTAGGAGTATCTTTCAGTGGTATTAAATAGTTACATTGTTGTGCAACTATCATCATCATCCATCCACAGAATTTTTTCATATTCTCAAACTGAAATTCTGTCCCTATTAAACACTAATTCCCCCATCTCCCCCAGCTCCTCGCCCCACCATCTACTTTCTATCTGCTAATTTGACTCCTCTAGGGACCTCCTATAAGTGGAATCATACAATATTGGATGTATCTATTTTTTTAACTTTTTATTTTAAAATGGTTTTAGACATAAAGAAAAATTACAAAAATAGCACAATGAATTCCTTATTTCCTTCACCCAGATCCCCTAAGGTTAACCAAGGACATGACCACAGCACCATGATCAATGATATTTACTGAAATACTGTATTCAAATTTCATTAGTTTTTCCTCTAATGTCCTTTTTTTCTGTTCCAAGAACCATTTCAGGGTCCCACATTGCCTTTGTCAGGATCCTTAGTCTTGTCTAATCTGTGACAGATCCTCAGTCTTTCCTTATCTTCTGTGGCTTTCACACTTTTGATAGGACACCATAGATCCCCTTCAACACTGTTTTTTTGCTTAAGTTTATCCTGTAAATTACTCCAAACTGGTTCATAGAGATCTTCCCCACTCTCTTTTTTACAGCTGTGGGATGAACCATAGTTTATTCAACCCTCTCCTACATATGGGTATTTAAGTCGTTCCCAATATTTAGGCTGTTTCCACTATTTGTGAAGATGTGTTTTTAGGATATAGTCCTAGAATTGAAATATCTGTCAAGAGGTAAATCCTTACATATTTTGATTAGATATTCCAAACTTAATTCCAGAAAAGGTGTACCAATTTGCATTCCAACAGCAACACACAAGAGCGCCTGTCTTCCCACATTGTTGCCAACAGAACCTGTCCAGTGATATGACATAGCATCATTATCAGATTGTAAAGCTCCATGTGTATTGGGTCTATTTCTGGACCTTTAGTCTATTCCACTAGTCTATTTATCTATTCATGTACCAGCATCTCATTGTTCTTTTGTTTATTTTTGAGGCTTTGTAGTATGTTTTCATGTCTGGTAAGGCTAGCCCCCACCTCATAGGTTTTCTGGCCATTCTTGCATAATAGTATCAACTCATCTCATTCCATAAAATACGTGTAGATATTTTTTATTGGGATCGTCATAGATTTATAAATTAACTTCAGGAGAACTATCATACTATCCAGTCATCTTATCCAAGAGTAGATGTTGTTCTGGGTACATTTTTTAACAATGGTGAGTAGTAGAGATTCCGCAGGCCATGGAAAATGGTATAGTTCTACAAGAATGAAAAGTGATATTTTCTCTTGATTCCCAGATATTGATGAGTGTAAGACCGGACTGGCAAAGTGCAAGCAGCACTCATATTGCAGAAATGAAATCGGACATTACAGCTGCAGCTGTATCCAAGACAGTTTGATCTTCAAAGTGCTGTCTTTTTTCATTAACTTGAATCCAGAATGCAACGGTAAGAACCTCCACTACTCTCTCCACCATGAACGAGGAGGGGCAGGGAAAGACTTTGAGAGTTCCACTGATGTCAGGCCAGGGTCAGAGAGCAGAGCTCTGTCCTGGCCCTGTCCTTCGTCCCGTTGTTGTCCTTGGTAATTTTTTCCCAGAAGAGCTTACTCAAGCCCATGGTATTAATCACCATCTCTACGTCACTGCTTTAAAATTTTATGTGTCTTTCCCTGGCTTCCAAAATGACATCTTTAGTTTTCTACTGGATTTCTCTACTTTTTTTCTCTCTCACTCACTTTTAAATTCAATTTCTACATCTGTCTATCTCTCTATATACTAAAACCCATGAGTTCATGCCAATAACTCCAATTCAAATCCAACACCAGGGTTTGATCTAGCCTTCCCTCTTTCCTTATTTGTGACTTCTTTCTTCAACATTGAAAAACTCGGTTCTCACTATCCACAACCTATTGACTTATTTGTTCATTTCTAGTATAATTCCATGTTTTGAGTTAGACAGTTGGAATTGACTTCGGCATTACCACTTACCAGCTGACTTTTGGGTAATGACTAGCTTCTATATGCCTCATCTGTAAGTGGAAAGAAGTATAGTACCATCAGCTGAATTGCTGCATAACAAAAGACCCCAATGTAAGTGATTTAAAACAACACATATTTATTGTTTCCCAGTCTGGGTAGGCCAGGAATTGAGGCATGGCTTACCTGGTCCTCCGCTTCAGAGTTTCTCACAGTTATAATCAAAGTACTGGCCAGAGATGCAGTTTTATCTGAAGGTTTGTCTGCTTTCAGGCTCACTCGCATGATTGCTGGCCAGATTCAGTTCTTTGAAAGCTATTGGACTGAAGGCCTCAGTTCCTTTCTGGTGGCTAATGAGAGGCTGCCCTCCGTTCTTAGCTACATCGGACTCTCTGGTATGCTTTATTATAACAAGTGTTGACTGAAAAATAATATCAACTAAGTGTTTTGTCACCAAAAAAGATTTATTTTGGAAAAAGAAAGTGTTGTAACCCAGTGCATACAGACATGGCAAGTCACATACACACTCTGGGCTGTGTGCCAAAATGGAGGAGTATTTATAGACTAGAAAAGGAAGTTAGAACTGTAGCCTTTATTATAAGAGTTCTTCCTGTCGGGTTCCCGCATGTAGGTTTCTCACGATTACACAGAGTGTGAGAACTTCCATAAGCCCTAGTTCCTCCTTTAGACCCTCCTGACTGATTATGTTTGTTTAATGTTCCAGTTCATCTTTATCACAAGCACATGAGAATAGCCAGAAAGAGAGTGTGGATGAAACAGAAATCATAGTCCTTCATAACCTAACCTCAGAAGTGACACCCTTTTCACTTGTGCTGTATTCTAGTCACTAGAAATGAGTTGCGGGGTCCAGTCAGGGGAAGAATTAATTCACAGACAAGGGCATGAATAAAGGGATGTGAGGCAAAGATCACTGAGAGTCATTTCAGGAACCTGCTTACCTCACCTACTGGGTGCAGTACCATCCCTCCAACTTCATGTCCACACATGAAACCTGTAAACGTGATCTTACTTGGAAATAGAGTCTTTGCAGATAAAATCAAATCAAGATCACGTCATACTAGATTAAGGTGGGTCCTAAATCCAATAAGACTGGTGTCCTTATAAGAGGGGAATTTGGACTTAGGGACCCACACACAGAGGGACATGTAAAGATAGAAGCATAGATTGGAGTCATGCTGCCATAAGCCAAGGGACATCAAAGATTGCTGACAACTACTAGGAGCTAGAAGCAGCAAAGAAGGGTCTTCCTTAAAGCCTTCAGAGGGACCATGGCCCTGCTGACACCTTGATTTTGGGCTTTTAGTTTCCAGAACCATGAGAGAATAAATTCCCATTGTTTTAAGCCACACAGTTTGTGGTACTTTGTTACAGCAGTCCTAGGAAACTAATATGCTTTACCTATGATTATTAAGCCACGTAAAATATTTAGTGCAATGCTAGGCACTAAGAAGGCTCAATTAATATTAGCAATTATGCTACATAACTCTGTTCTAGAAACTTCTGTGTTCCTTTAAATGAGATAATGTATATAAAAGCACTTCAGATATTGTGCTATGTAGACAATGGCAGGTATTGTTTCTGTTTCCATATTATTAGCTCAGTTAATACCTATTCTTTTGGAAAGCCTTCTCTGCACCCCTGGTATGCTGGGGCCTCTTCTGTATACGCCTAAGTCATCGTGTTCTATTTATTAACATCTTAGATCCTTGCAATCTCTTAATTATTTATTTGTAATTATTGGCTTAGTGATTTTCCTACCAGACTGCAAACAAGGGAATTCACTTTGTCTCTTTGTCAATCTCGACACATAGCATTTGGCATTATGTCTGGCTTTTAGTAGTTTCTCAATAAATACTATTGACTGGGGCCGGCTGAGTAGCGCGTTGGTTAAGAGCTGGCTTAAGATGCCAGAGGTCCCCGGTTCGGATCCCACATATGAGGGCCAGTGACACTGCCCTCTACAGCTAAGATGCTGAACAACAGCTCAACCTGGAGCTGGGCTGCCATGAGTCGCCGGCGACGGCGTAGGCTGCAGCCCCTGCTGCAGTGGGTTGCCATGGGCTACCGTGTGTAGCCAGCAGCCAGCGTGAGTGGCCAGCAGCCGCCGTGAGCGGCCGTCCAGAAGCCAGCGACTGATCTGCCTCGCCCAGGAAGAGCGCAATGATGGTGCCAACTTGGGCCAGTGAAGCAACGTCCTCCACAACTAGACTGAAGAACAAAACGACAGCAACTTGTCTGTTCCCCTTCCCCCAATTCCCCAGCACTGTTCCCATCCCCCGCAATTCCCCAATAAAAATCTTAAAATAAATAAATAAATAAATAAATACATACATACATACATACATACATACTATTGACTGAATGATTGAACTGAAAGCCCCATCCTGATTCCCTTTTATTCTACTGTAGGAGACATTTGGGACTTTTTAGAGGGAAACTAGGATAGGTTGTGGAAGCATCAGGGAAAGACCCAACTTGAGGGTGCTTGGAAGAAGAGACATGTGCCAGGGTGCATTATCTCCCACATTCAATTAAACAACTCTTTTTTTTTTTTCCAGAGAAACCTGTTGAGGAGACACAGATGATTTGGGTGAGTAAGGTGAAGCTAGGTTTAGGAAATAGCTGAATAGTCTTAGCATGTCATTCTCCTGCTCAAACACTACCACAGCTCCCTATGACGTTTAAAATACAGCATTTCTCATGCAGGAGTGATTTTTGTCCTCTGTCTCGGGGGCCGATATCTGGCAATGTCTGGGGACATTTTTGGTTGGCACAACTAGGGTGCTACTGGCATCTAGTGGGTGGAGGCCAGGGATGCTGCCAAACATCTTATAAAGCCCAGGACAGCCTCCCACAACCATTATCTGGTGTCAAATGTCAATTCAGAAGATTGAGAAACCCTGGGAAAGGGTTTAATGCCTCAGCGGTCATTCAGACTTGCATCAAGCATTTAGAGCCTCATTCCACCTGCTCACCACCTCCCACTCCCTATCTTTCTCCATAAGGCACTCTTTGTAGGTTCTAGATATCTCATCCTTTAAGCCTTCACTTAGCATAATACCCTCTAGGTCCATGCATATTGTCACAAATAATAAGATTTTATTCTTTTTTATGGATGAGTAATATTCCATTGTATGTATAAACCCCATATTCTTTATCCATTAGTCTTTAGGTTGGAGCATTTAATCCATTTACATTTATAAATATTTTCTCATAAATACAATGGCGCTAAGGATACATCCTTCACAGGGCTGTATGTGATAAATGAGAAAACACATATCGGGCTGATCGCACAGAGCCTAGTAGCACCTTAATCAATATTATTGTCTCCTGGGTCCACCAAACCACCTACGCATATTTCTGCTTCCTTAAGTTTCCATAAGAGTCTACCTAATTAGCTTTGTTTCCTTGAAAGACCAATCTAAAGAACAATGGAAGCAAAGAGTACATTGCAAAAAAGGCTACGCAACTACTTCAAAGCGTGGAATCAAGCATATTGAATGAGAGTTTTGCTTCTCCAGGAAAGCATGAAGATCCTGTGCTTAATATAGGTAAGAAACACTGACTATTTTCCTTATAGCCAAGAAATTTTATGAGGGTGATCTTTCAACAGACTTTGTGTTTATATGATGTGGAAAGAGTTCACTTAAAGGATTCTTACCAAATACAGAAGATCTGCTCCCAGGTGACTATTTTCTTGGAAATCTTTTAGATGTTAAGCTTCTTCAGTACATACCATTTAAATTAGTTTGCCCTTTAATTATTGTACGGTAAAGGTTTAATTTGCCTGCCCTAGTTCCAGCTCTAGAAAGCATGACTATTTCCTCTCTCCCTCTGAGTTGGGCGTCCAGTGTGTGTTGCTCAGGCCATTTTGACCATTTCATCCTCACTAGGAAGAGACATGGAGGGGAGTGCTATCTGGTCTACCTTGCATGCAGAAAATGAAGTCACCAGTAGGGGGTCTTTCAAAGAAGGGAATTCTTCCCCAAGTTTCTTAGGCATAAAAAGTGAGGCAAGAAAGACTCACTTTCTGAATGTTTCCAGTCTATGAAACCAAGAGGTGCAATGAGACAAGTGAGAAGACTGTTCTGGAAGCTGGAAATAACACAATGGATCTGAACTGCACTGACGCTTTCAAAGGAAACACAGGAGGTACTGTGTGTAAGATGGAGTGCCTTGACCTTCAAATTCTAGGCTCTGTTGTCTCATTTCTAAGTGACTGGGCCAAGGGGTGGGGACTTGCAAAGTTTTCAATTCCAATTCACCAAATTGTAGACCCCCCTACAAAACGATTTCTCTTATGTTTTCCTCAGATAGGAGTACGGTTGCACTTATTGCTTATCAGTCTCTTGGGGATATTCTAAATGGATCCTTTTTTAACAATAGAAGAGGAGCAATGGAAGTGAAGCTGAACTCTCATGTTGTGAGTGGCACCATTGGTATGAAGGAAAAAGTTTATCTGTCTAAACCTGTGTTCCTGACCTTCAAACATACTCAGGTGAGAAAAACCCAGGGCTGGTTCTCTCTGCATTACCTTAAAGGGCTGTATTATCAGGGTCCTGGCAGGCAACCAAATACAGCTCTGATCATTCAGGATTAAGAGAAATGACAAGAAATATTGAGGCATCCAGAGAAGCTATTATCACATTTATGCCTAAAAAGGCAGTAGAGAGATGAGCATCATCAAGCCCAATGAAGGCTGGGGGCATGAAGGAAGGATTGCCCTACAGATAGCCAGCAGCAGGAAAGGTGTCTGGAAGAAATACCTGGCCTCCATCTTCTCTCATCCAATGATCTCTCACCTGTTCCTCTCATTGGTTCTACCAGTGACAAGCAGCCTGGGTAAAGCACTTCATAAATGTCAATTCCTGGGACTCTGAGATGACCAGAGCAGGGCAGAATCAATGAAGAATAAAGCCCACAGCAGGTGTGGCATGAAACTCTTCCCTACAAGTGTTCCAGATGATGGGGTTTTCTTAATCCAGCTCCCAACCCTGTGTATCCTTGACCAACTTATTAAGTTGAAATTACAAAACCAAAAAGACAGCCACTTTCATGCTATTCTCTTTGCAGCCTAGTGTTGTAAGAGCCAAACATTTGTGTGTCTCCTGGAAAGAATCGGAAGAGGGAGGCAGCTGGTCAACGGAGGGCTGCACTCATGTGGGCAGTACTGAGTCTTACACCAAATGCAAGTGCTTCCACCTTTCCAGCTTTGCTGTCCTCATGGCTCTTGCTCCTAAGGTACGAAGATTCATGGTCCCTTCCTGTGAATCTGAGTGTGTCCAGGAAACTGTGGGGTCCTCCTCTCCATGTCTTAGAAAAAGACTCAAGATATGGAATCAAGTGGAAGTAGCTTACTTGAGAGGTAGTTCCAGGAAGTACCAGCAGGGGACTAGAGAAGTGAAATGGGAAAGGGACAGAAGCCATGCCGAAGGCATTATCAAGGCAGTTACCCCTGTGGGTAACTGGAGCTTAATTCCCTCTGGGGGAGTCTGAGAGTCAATGTAGTTCATTCTAACTAAATAGAGAGAAAGCTGAGGTATTTATACACCACCTCCTTCTGGTCATTAATTGAAAGCTTTATCCATGGGACAATCAATTCTCTGACACTTCCATGGGCATGGGCAGAATGAGCTCAAGCTAATAGAGGAAGCCCTCAGAAATTGGAAAGTTGGGTTATCAGCCCCTATAGTGGAAGGGTCCAAAGTAACCTGGGATCAAAAGCATCTGTTCCTCTGCAAGAGAGAGTTATACCTCAACCTTCCTAGTCAGACCAGAGAAAGGCAACTGACTGACACCAGTGAAAAGGCACAGCCCCCTGAACTTTTCATGTCCCAACCACATGTAGGATAATTCAGGTTAAAAAAAAATGTATCTAATTTCTTCCCTTATTTCTTTTTAGTTCCCATTTATTGAATATTTACTATAAGAATATTTACTGTATGTAATCATTATGTTGCATACTTACATGTATGGCCTCATTTTATTCATTCAATGAGTTCATATATGCGTGCTTCCATGTGTCAGATGCTGCTCTAGTCACTGCAAATATATCAGGGAACAAGGCAGATAAAGAAATCCTAGCATTGCTGGAGGCTAATTTTGAGTGCGGTGTTGTCCAACAGGATCACCAGTCACATGTAGCTATTGAGCACTTGAAATGTGGCTAGTGTGACTGAAGAAACAAAATTCTTAATTTTATTTAATTTTAATTTATTTAAGTGAAGAAGCAGTGTAAAACATTTTCCCATCAAATACAACTTTATTTTTCAGTAGGACTACACTTCCCTTTCACCATTAAAAAGATAGCATCTGAATTGAGATGTGTTGTAAGTGTAAAATATACACTGGATTTCAAAGGCTTAATATGAAAAAAAAGAATTTCATATATCTCATTAATAATGGTTTTACATTAATTGTAATTTGGACAGATTATATTTTTATTATATTATTATATTCAACGTTTTGAACTAAAAATACTTTGAACATATACTATTAAATTAATTTGACCAGTTTCATTTTACATTTTAGAACTATGGCTACTAAAAAATTTAAGTTACACATGGCTCACATATTTCTGTTGGACAGTGCTAGTCCAGTGGAGTCAGTTTTTCAACAGCCCTGTGTGGTAAATGATCTTATGTTCCCATTTTGAAGATGGGGACACCACGTCTCAGAGCAGTTAAGTCACTGATCTAAGGGGCTGAACTGGGAAACCCATCTGACTCCCCATCAGGAACGTAAATGCAGAGCTGGAGACTATAACAGATCTCTCCTTTGGTGGCTCATAGGCAGACCGCGCCCTGGCTGTGATCACCTACGTGGGGCTGAGCCTGTCTGTGCTGTGCCTCCTCCTGGCGGCCCTCACCTTCCTGCTGTGCAAAGCCATCCAGAACACCAGCACCTCCCTCCACCTGCAGCTCTCCATCTGCCTCTTCCTGGCCAACCTGCTCTTCCTCACGGGGATTAATCAAACTGAACCGAAGGTAGGTGATTTAACCAAATTACCTCACTGTCATAAACAAACCTACCCATCTTGTCTTGAGGAAAGCTGGGGAAAGAGACAGTAATTGGCAGGAATAAAAAGCAAGAGTTCCCATTTCAGCTCCCCTCCTGTATAACTTTAACAAGACCTGTACTTTCTGAGGAGACATTTAGCAAAGTGATTGAGAGTCAAACTTGATGGTATAGATAGGGTTACAATAGCTGCTCAAACAAATGAACTCAAAATTTCAGTGGCTAATCACACGAACAGTTAATTTTCCCTTATATATCAGTAGAGGGTGAGAAAACAGGTTTGAAGGGTGTCTATCCTCCAACCTCAAGCTGATTGGAGGCTCTTCTATTTCCCATACACAGCTTCTAGGGTCATCCTGGGGTCCATTCCATTCTAGGCAACTGGAAAGCAACACGAGCACGGTGGAGTCCCATGAGGGAGCTTCACATGGGCCACCTCAGGAGGGGGTGTTTATCACTTCCTCTCATATTCCATTGGCTAGAGCTCCCATCACATGGTCACACCTAACTGCAAGAGTCCCGGGAACTGTAATGTCTGGCTGAGAAGTCATGTCCTAGTGACAGATCTATATTCCAGAACGGACGCATGGAGGGAGGCTTGAGCTTTTGGTGGACAGTGTCTTTGCTACATAATCTGCCCCTGAATCTCACCTCTCCATCCTACTCACTATATGACCATGTTGAAGTGACTCCCCTTTTTTAAACTTCTTCTCTAAAACAGGGGCATCACCATGGGGCTCTAGTAAGGACTTAGCAAGATCAAACATAATCTGGATTAATCACACAGAGAACAATGTTAGCTTTTATTTTCATCATGATAATGATCACCATCACATCCAGGAATATTTGGAACTAAATGTTCTCCAAAGCTCCTTTTAATCCTGAAAGTCTATGAACTCACAGCCAGCGGGTTATGAAAACACTATTATTTTTCCTAAAATCCATCATGGATTTAAGAGCTGCTCCCCTGGCATCCATTCCTTGGCACTTCTGGTTTGCCCCCATGCATGGGGTAAGCAGACTTCCACAGCCAGTAAAAGCCCCTAGAAAGGTGTTGCCCCAGGCAAAATGTCACAAGTATTGGAATTGAAATTCCAGACCAGCATCCAGGCACTGATAAGTGCTGAGGATAGAATCAGGTGTAAACGACATCGTCACCCCCTTTCTAACTCTCCTCTTCCCTGCAGGTGCTGTGCTCCATCATCGCAGGCGTGTTTCACTACCTCTACCTGGCCTCCTTCACCTGGATGCTCTTTGAAGGGCTGCATCTCTTCCTCACCGTCAGGAACCTCAGGGTGGCCAACTACACCAGCACAGGCAGATTCAAGAAGAGGTTCATGTACCCTTTGGGCTACGGGATTCCAGCTCTGATTGTGGCTGTGTCTGCATCAGTAGGACACGAAAATTACGGAACATACACTCAGTAAGCATGATGAGTGTGTTTAAGGTAGAAGTGGTGTCCATGGCCAATCCATGATCTGAAATCAAAATACATTTCTTTAAAAATCCATTTTCTGATTTTGACTTATACTTCAAACCAGCCCTTTCTTAAACCTGAATTCTATTTTCTCTTAAAAATCCCTAGAGCTGTGGTTCTCAGCATTTTGGGGGTTGGGTCCCTTTAAGAATTTGGGTGACATCCGGAGCCTATTTCCACAGACAAATGTATGTACACACAAAATTTTGAACACAACTTCATGAAATTCAGGGGCAAGAAAGCAAGTTCATGACCCCACATTAAGAACCTGTGGACTCTATGTTCTGCAGGATTCTATAAGGGTAGGCTAAGCAGGTTGAGATTAATCTTCAAAATGTAAAGAATAACAATAGCAACAACTCTCGAAGGCCTGTGATGCATCCGAGATAATGCTTTCTATATGCAGTATCTCATCTTCTCCCATTAAGTCGGCATTGTTTATCACCTCGTGTGCAGGACCTCTGGGCCTTAGTGCATCTAATAAACGTTTTCAAAGTCACATCTGAAAAGAGAGTAAGTCAGAATTCCCAAGGCAGGTTCTTCATAGCCATGTTTTGCTGCCTCACTAAAGAAGTTTGGAAACCTCTGCAAAGCTAGTTGAAAAAGTTAGTATTTTGGCAATGGGACTTGGGTTAGGAAGTAGGTGTGCATGTGCTAAAACATCATGTAGGAGGCTTTCCTTCTTGAAGTAAAAAAGATGCTCTGTCTCTAAATTTGAATCCTATGTCCTGCCAGAATGATTCTGGAGATGATAGGGTAGATCAGGGGTTGGCAAACTTTCTATAAAGGGACAGATAGTAACTATATTTCACCTTTGCAGACCACGTGGTCTTTGTGGCAATGACTCAAATTGCCCTGTGGTGTGAAAGCAGCCGAATCATAGACAATAAGTAAATGAATGAGTGTGGCTGTGTTTCAATAAAATTGAATTTATAAAAACAAGAGGTGGACTGGATTTGGCCTGTGGGCCATAGTTTGCAACCCTTGGAATAAAACTAAGTGTGGGAGCATTTCTGTCCACTGAGTGTTGGCAGTTGCTTGTTACTTTTGCCAGTTTCATCGTGCCAGGTCCCCTCTTTCAGAATGTTATACTACCTTTGCCAACATAAGGCATGACAGAATGCAAAGTCTTTTGGCAACAGAGTCCTTGGTACATGGAATATGCTTAACTAATGTTTGTATTTTTATAGCTGTAGTTAAATTATTATTTTTACTCTCTTTCTTATTATAGTAATTATTATTATTAGGACACCTACGTTTATTGAGCCTTTAGTCTTTGCCAGGAACTGTATCAAAACAGTGCAAAAACACTGTGCACATTATCTCATTTAATCTTTTCTATATGAGGAAGACTTCGATGAAAACAATCAAAGAAGATTCAAATAAATGGAGAGATACTCCATGTTCATGGATAGAAAGACTCCATATTGTCAAGAAGATATTTCTTCTCAATTTGACCTATAGGTTCAATGCATTCACAGTCAAAATCCCAGAGAATTATTTTGTGGATATTAACAAACTGATTCTAATGTCTACATGGAAAGGCACAAGACCCAGAATAGCTGACACAATATTGAAGGAGAGGAACAAAGTCAGAGGATTGACCCTATCTGACTTCAAGACTTGGTCGATAGCCACAGTAATCATTTAATCTTTTCAATAATTCTGTTGGCCTTGTTTTACACTTGGGGAAACTGAGGCTCAGGGCATACAGTCTTGTGTCAGATGAACACCCATGTCCGATTCCATCTAAAATTCAGGTCTGACCTAAATAGCTCCTGGCACTGCTCAGATTTTGCTACAGGAGCCTGAATTGAAGTCCTTTGTCTTCTGAGAAATAAGCAGTTAATCCTTATCTTTCTCACAACAGCTGCTGGCTCAAGCTTGATAAAGGGTTCATGTGGAGCTTCATGGGGCCAGTGGCCATCATTATCTTGGTAGGTGACCATTGATGATGATTTATTATTGTGCCTGCCCTGGGTTGACCCAGCATAGAGACAGTGTTTCTTATCTTAT